AGGTCCATGACATGTAGTCATTTCTTTGTTTCACTAGAGCACATGCTTCCAGGTGTGAGCGGCAGCAGGCACTTACCTAAGTGAGTCAGCCTCATACAATGTAGCTTTGCTGTTCTCTAGCTGCAGGTAGAAACTACCATTAGGTATCCAAAGGGGAGAAAAAGTCACTTAATGTTTCCGATATACTATTGTATTTTAAATTAGATTTCATAATGATATCGTTGATTTATAGAATCTCGAAGTACTTGATCAAAAATATACTTGAAAAAGATCTTGTTAAAGATTAAATCAGATCTTTATAAATCCCAAGAATGAAGACATGCCATTGTTATAGTTTCCCAAGCTATTAATAATATTCACCTACTATATTACTTTCTTTGAGAGACCAAATATCTAACCGCGAAGAACACATGTTCTCAAACTTTAGCATGCCTCACAATCACGGGGAAGGCTTCTTAAAACACTATTTGCTGACCCCTATTTCCAGAGTTTCTGATTCAGCATGTCTGGGGTAAGGCCCAAATTTGCAACGTTAACCACATTCCCAGGTGCTGCTGGTGCTGCTGCTTCAAGAACCATCTTTGAGAACCTCTGCTTTGGAGGATGAAAGCCAAGTTACTCCAAATCCACATAACTGGGCCTTCACACACACTATCATCTATATAAAATCCTTAGACTTTCTTATGATCAAGTGGCAAAATTATACATTATGATGAATAATTAAGACCAAACTAGCCAGGTTGTTTTCAGATAATTGTTATTTTGAAATAAAAAAATATGATGTTAGAGCCAAAACCGGTTTGGCTCAGTGGATGGAGCATCGGCCTGTGGACTGAGGGGTCCCAGGTTTGATTCCGGTCAGGGGCATGTACCTAGGTTGCGGGCACATCCCCATTAGGGGGGTGTAGGAGGCAGCTGGTCAATGTTTCTAACTCTCTATCCCTCTCTCTTCCTCTCTGTGAAAAATCAATAAAATATATATATTTTAAATATATGATGTTAAAATTACTACATTGGGAAAATATGTAGTGGTTTTATTTTATTCTAACTAAAATGCGATGCAACTCTTATAGAGATTGATTTTGTAGCACTTGCCACCATTACATTTAAATAAGTATCCAAATATCTAATGTCTCTTTCCTTCCACTTAATTGCTCGCACCCTTGATGGCAAGGACTATCTTTTCCTCTATAGTTTACTATTGTATCTCTGTGGCCTACCACAATGTCAAATACATATCAGGCCTCTTAAAAAATAACTGTTGACATATGTAAAACTTTAGACAATAAAAATTAAAAAAGTTCAACCTGCATCTGCTTACCTACCAAAAAATAAAAAAGAAATAACTGTTGAGTAAATGAATAAACAAAGTTTATTGACAACCTATTGTTTGTACCACATACTGGTGGTACAAACATAAATTAGACATAACTTCAACTCTCAAGCTACTCACAGCCTATTGAGGGGCAGCAATATGTTTAGTTTATCATAAAGCAATGTAATAAGTGCTTTATAGTAATACTAGAGGCCTAGTGCACAAAATTTGTGCACAGGAAGGGGGGTGGATGTGTGTGTCCCTTAGCCCAGCCTGCACCCTCTTCAATCTGGGATCCCTCTCACAATTCAGGACTGCTGGTTCCCAACCACACGCCTGCCTGCCAGCCTCATGCCCCTAACCACTTCTGCCTGTCTGGCTGATCACCCTCTAACAACTCCCCTGCCAGACTGATCATCGCCTAACTGCTCCCTTGCTGGCCAGATTGCACCTTAACTGCCCTCCCCTGCCGGCCATCTTGTGGTGGCCATCTTGTGTCCATATGGGGGTGGCCATCTTGTGTATTAGAGTGACGGTGAATTTGCATATTACATCTTTATTATATAGGATGCACAAAATGCTGAGGGACATAATTAAAGAGCTGCTTAAAGCTGCTAGCAAGTAGGGACATGGTAGAAGGCTTCCATAAGGAAGTGATAAATCCCAATATGTGGTAAATTTATTGTCTCATCCACATTGCTAGTAACCTCATTTATCCACAGGGTTCTATGCTAAGCTTTATGGAACTAGAAAAGTATTCTATTCCAACACAAAATCGAACATTCAAGTCTCCATAGAACCAGATAGCACTTTTCTAAGATGTTGCTACTAGTAGTGTTTTAAGAAAAGTATCACTTTACTGTCCAAATATCTCCCACAAAAATCCCCCTCAAACACTCTACAGTGGAATTTAAAATTTCAAAGTATCTGGAAGAGAAATTTAAAAAGGATTTTTTAAAAAAACACATTTCATCTCGCTCCTTCAGCACCTAAATGAAAAATAAATAACCTAAGTGCCTTGAAAATCGAAATGTTTTAGCAATACTAAACAAAAGAATTACTAAATTAATTGGTAAAATATGGAATTTCAATTCACTTCTATTCAAATTCTGTAAGGTATTAATGCAATCATCATAGAACTGAAATTATCCATTGGACAAAACTTTTTCCTTAGTTTTACCACAAGATGGCACCCTAAGCCTAACATCTAAATGTACAGCTTATAGCACATGGCTGCTTTAGGCATTTTCCTTTTTTATATATTAATAAACAGTAATGACTAGCTTTTAAGAGCTTAAAGTGTCTTTTCCACCGTTAATTATTAGTAAATTGAAAAATAAAAAAATACAGGAACTCTAGAAGCAAAGAGAAAGAAAATTAAACAATTCATCATCCTCCACATGTATCATATATCCAGCTCTTTACCATACAGCAATGTATCTCACCGCTAGATTTCATTTTCTTCTTTTACTTTATTTTACAATTTTTCCAGAATAAGCATACATTGCTTTTATAATAAGATAAAATTGTACTTTAAAAATAAAAAAGCAATACTTTTGTTATCACCTTCTACCCTATTAGCAGAGAACCCATTTATAAAATGTGTTTATGCACTACCATACTATCAAAGTTATAAAAACAGAATTCTGTCCTCAAAGATTTATACAAGATAAGACATACTAGCTTTTGTTGTGGTTTTTAAAGCATTATAATGAAGGATCACAAAGGAAAGACCAAATTAATTTTCTTTTTCTTTTTTTTTCTTTTTTTAAATATGCTTTATTGATTTTTTTACATAGAGGAAAGGAGAGGGAGAGAGAGTTGGAACATCGATGAAAGAGAAACATCAATCAGCTGCTTCCTGCACACCCCCTTCTGGGGATGTGCCTACAATCAAGGCACATGCCCTTGGCCAGAATGGAACCTGGGACCCCTGAGTCCGTAGGCAGACGCTCTATCCACTGAGCCAAACCGGTCAGGGCCAAGTTCATTTTCAAAGTGATAGTTTTCATCATCTGTAGAAAGGCTTGGTTTCCTGGTCCCATCTAAGTGTTACAACACATTCTTCAATAACAGTATTTCCTATTATTCATTTGTGTTGGGTTTTATGCATTATGATTCTCTTCTACTTCTTCAGCTAATTAAGATTTGTGCAAGTTATTATTTCATTGTACTTATTATTTAAGTATTAGAACAATGAGTGAAGCCACTGTTTTCCCTACTTGTAACAAGAACGACAAGAGAGTGGGAGCAGGAGTTGGTTCAAACAGAAAGCAGGTCATAGGCCATAAACAATGCTCTATTTATCAGTGGCACCCCACTTATCCTTTTACAAAGCTCTAATTCCCTGCAGGATTCACAGGGCTACAGGGTTTTCTGCTTTTGTGTCCTTAAAGAGGATACACAGCAAGACCACTCAAACATTCAATAGCAAAAAAATTGTAATCAGTATTTAACAATCCACACAGAATGGAATAGAAAATTATATTTTGTTGTATAATGTTGCTCCATTTATTATTTTTTTAATCTAGTTTATCCCAAAATGAATTTTTTAAAAACCAGCCAAAGCAAATCTATCCATTCAAAGCTAGACACCAGGATTACTTATATAACAGCTTTTTACAGATTATTGTTGTCTCATTTTTTAAAGATACATTCAAACTGCACTGTAGGCTTTTTGCCAAGATATTTATCACTCACTCAAAACAATTACAAAATGCAATTCTTTGTCATGAATTTGTCCTTGTATTACCCACATAATAAAGTTGCCATACCAAATGGTTGCATTGTCAAAGTATAATTGAATTATCAACGCATCCAACTTGATCTTCCTAAATCAAGTTAAAAAACTGAAACTCTCAAAAGACTTAGCTAGTCTTAACTAAACATATCATACAAATCTATTTCAAGATATTGCCATTCACAGTTAATGCCCTGTGTTAATGATCAATTAGAAGGAACTATTAATTTTTAACTGAGAAATGTGTGGCTTAAAAATGTTCTCAACTACTATTCTCTAATGACAGGATTTATTTAAATTCTGCAAGAGTCCATTTAGAGTTGTTTTTATTTAATTCCAACTAAGATGATTACAGTTATTTGCGTCATTAATTCTTACCAGCCACAAGAGTATGTTTTAAAGAACTTTTGATCCACAGGCAATATAATCTTATAAAGATTTTTTTTCTACCGTTTTTATTCACTAGACTGATTCTCAAATTTTCAAAATATAATAGCTTTTATTGTAAAATTACATTCAGAACAAGGTGGAGTTTTTGTCTGTAAGTGTACACATATATGATAGAAGCATAGATAAAATATTTTCAAGATTAATTCTCATAATCCTATTTTTAGATTTTGTTTCAATAACACTTAGACTTTAAAAAGTAATAATAATGTCCAGGAGACTAAGTTATTTCTTTAAAATGTACTACTTAAGCCCCAGCTGGTTTGGCTCAGTGGATAGAGTGTTAAGTCTGCAGACTGAAGGGTCCCAGGTTCCATTCCAGCCAAGGGCACATGCCTGAGTTTCAGGGCTCCATCCCCAGTGTGGGGCATGCAGGAGAGAGATAATCAGTGATTCTCTCTCATAACAGATGTTTCTATCTTTTACTCCCTCTCCTTTCCTTTCTGACATCATTAAAAATATATTTTTAAAGAGATAATACAGAATTTTAATACATACCTAGCAGAGCTTGAAATAAGCTGCTCCTAAAGATGCCCATCACCTTTTTAACAGCGTTTTTCAGCTGCTGCTCCTCAGGCTTCCTTAATTTTTTGCAGTATTCTTCCAGCAACGATAAAGCTCGGTCAGTATCTGAAAAACATGGTTTAAAAATTCTGTCTTATGGTCTTAGAAAAATAATAAATTCCATCACACAATTCTATAGTTGTATTCCTAATTTTGTAACACAGATTACTTTAATAAAATGATCACAAGTTCCATAAACTACCACATGAAGTTGAGAATTACACTCAACTCCTAATTTTAAGAACCCACTTTTATTCCTATAGTTCTATCTTCCAAAAGGATCTGTAAACATGAAACCACACAGCACAAAGGGCCTGAATGCCATGTGGGCCAGAAGATGTTCGCACAGCAGATGTGATTCTCTTGCCATCTCAAAATTGATGACTTCCTACAAAACAACGCCCAGATTCCTTAGTTCAAGGTCCCCTGATACAACGTATATTTTCAGCTATATTTCTTACTACACATTCCACCCTCTTTTATACACACACACACAATGCCCAAGCCACACTGGATTTTTCTCTTTCTCTCTCTCTCTCTCTCTCTCTCTCTCTCTCTCTCTCTCTCTCTCTCTCCCTCCCTCCCTCCCTCCTTTCCTCCCTCTCTCCCTTCCCTTCCTCCCTCTCTGTTTTTCTCTCCTTTTTCTTTCCTTTGTACTTTTTATTTGCTCCTATTGCTCCCTGTTTTAGAATATGCTCTCCCATTCCACTATCTCTCTCTAAAATCTGTGCTCTAGTGAAAGGGATTTGTTGTTAGCTAGATCTGGGTCTAAACTCTACTTACTAGCTATGATCTTTAACAAGTTACTTAACTTCTCTGACCTTAAGCTTCCTCACAGGTAGTTGGATTAAATGACACAATACTTAGTACAGTGTCTAGTATATATTATATAAAGCAATCAACAAATCAACTGAAAGCCTACTATATCTTAATTTACATCTAACTTAAATGCTCTCTCTTCCATAAAAGTGCATTTGATAGTTAAAATTAATCACTATCACACAAATACTATAGGCATTCTTAATACATACTGCCATATTATGGCTTCCTGAATACATGTCTTTACTCCACAGACAAAATATCCTTGAAATTTTCACCAGAGTAACAGTGCCTTTATATGTAGTGACAATTCTTTTCTTTTTTTGAGGAGGGGATGGGTGGGACAGGGGAGGAGGAAATGAGAAGATTCAATTGTACTGTTCCATCATAAAGATCTCCATTTGGAGACTGCCAAGTCAAATATTTTTAACTAAACAATATTTATGTACCACACAAAATATAAAATACAGTAACTGATTTACTCAGACTCAAAATGCATTATGAGGGAGGGCAAGACTCACTTTAACCAGTGAACAACTGTTTTTATCACCATCTATCTAATAAAAGAGTAATATGCAAATTGAACATCACTCCAACACACAATATGGCTGCCCCCATGTGGACACAAAATGGCAAGAAGGGGAGGGCAGTTGGGAAGGACCAGGCCTGCAAGGGAGTGCAGTTGGGAGAGATCAAGCCTGAAGGGGTGGGCAGTTAGGGGTGACTAGGCCTGCAGAGAGGGCAGTTAGGGGTGACCAGGCCTGCAGGGGAGGGCAGTTAGGCTGGCAGGGGAGCAATTAGGCATCAATCAGGCTGGCAGGGTAATGGTTAGGGGATTATCAGACTGGCAGGCAGAAGCTGTTAGGGGCAATCAGGAAGGAAGGCAGGCAAGTAGTTGGGAGTCAGCAGTCCTGGATTGTGAGAGGGATATCCAACTGCCTATTTAGGGATGTCCTACCGGGATCGGACCTAAACAGGCAATTGGACATCCCTCGAGGAGTTCCAGATTGGAGAGGATGCAGGCCGTGCTGACGGACACATACCCCCATTCACAAATTTCATGCACCGGCCTCTAGTAGCCTCACCTGGGTTAAAAGCCAATTGGAGTTATCATTGGTTTTCACCCTTTGCCCAGACTCCATCACCAGTAAGAGCTTTACTTGGAGTAAATGTCACTTCCCTTAAAATGTCTCTCTTGGTAATCCTGTCACTTCTCCACCTGACCAGAACTCTTCTCTCATTACCTTCAAATCATATCATGGGTATTCATTAAAATTGCCCTGCTTTGGGGCTCATTTTTTTTCTTCCAGCTTTATTGGTATAGAATTGACAAATAAAATTGCATGTATTTAAGGTGAATAACATGAATTTTTAATATATGTGCACATTGTGAAATCATTACCAAAACTAATTGTCTTTGAATTTTAAAAGTTCTCTCCATGTTCCAATCTAACCCTTTCAGACTAAAAGCCATTCATGACAACAGTTCACATTCATTGAGTATTCTATTTCACTTCTCCTTTCTCCTAGCCTTTCTAACTCTTCTCCCCCACAGCCATTCTCAGTTGATAATCTTGCTTCCTATTTCATAGAAAATTAGAAGAGAATTTCCACAAGCTCCTTACTAAATAACTACTGACTCACCTGTAAGTGTACCCATTTACTCCGCCTTCCCTTCTGTTACTATGGATAAAATATTTGTGCTTCTCTCTAAGACCAACTCTTCTATTTGAGCACCTGAATCTATCCTCTCTTGCCCACCTAAGGACATTGCTGCATCGTCAATTGTTATTCTCTCCATTCAGTCATTCCCATCATCATACAAAGAACTGTAATATCAGTGATTTTTAAATGTTTCCTTTGCCTTTCATTTCTCTCCACCTAACTATGGTCTCCATTTCTCTGTTCCCTTCTATAGCACAATTACATAATTTTGTCACCATATAGATAAACATATGTGCATACAAGCATACATGGTATCAAAATGTAAAAAAAAAAAAGCTGCAGGATATACATTCTTCTCAAGTACACATGGGTCATTCACAAAGATAGACCACATGTTAGGAGACAAAACAAATCTCTACAAGTTTAAGAAGATTGAAATCATATAAAGCATCTTCTTAGATCATAATGAAATGAAATTGGAAATCAACTAAAGTAAAGAACAAAACAAAACAAAAACTCAAAACATCCAAACAAATAGAGGCTAAATAACATGTTACTAAATAATGAATGAGTTACCAATGAGATCAAGGAATAAAAAAATAAAAAAATAACTTCCTGAAAACAAATGAAAATGAACACACAACAATCCAAAACCTCTGGGACACAGCAAAAGCTGTCCTGAGAGGGAAGTTCATAGCACTATAGGCCTACTTCAAAAACCATGAAAAATTAATAATAAACTAGTTAACCCTACAGCTTAAATAATTAGAAAGAGAACAACAAGAAAAACCCAGAGTAAGTAGAAGGAAGGAAATAATAAAAATTAGAGTAGAAATAAATGACAAAAAGATTAAAAAAACCAACACAAAAAATCAATGAGACCAAAAGCTTGTTCTTTGAAAAGATAAACAAGATTGATAAACCTTTAGCCAGACTCATCAAGAAACAAAGAAAGAGACCCAAATAATTAAAATCAGAAATGAAAGCAGTGAAGTAACAACTGATATGACAGAAATACAAAGGACTGTAAGAACATACTATTAACAACTACATGCCAACAAGCTGGATAATGTAGAGAAAATGGGCAAATCCCTAGAAGAGTACAATCTTCCAAAACTGAATCAGGAAGGATCAGAAAATCTGAATAGGCCAATAACAACTGATGAAATTGAAGCACTAATAAAAAACTCCCAGCAAGCAAAAGCCCTGATCCAGATGGCTTCAGAAAAGAGTTTTACCAAATATTCAAAGAACAACTAAAACCTATCCTCCTCAAACTATTTTTAAAAATCCAAGAGGAAGGAATACTGCCAACCTCTTTTTATGAGGCCAACATTACCCTAATTCCAAAACTAGATAAAGATACTACAAAGAAAGATAATTCCTTCAGGAAAATATCCCTAATGAACTTAGATCTAAAATCCTCAACATAATATTAGCAAATCACACCCAGCAATACATTAAAAAGATCATACATAGTGACCAAGTGGGATTTACTCCAGGGATGCAAGGCTTGTATAATATTCACAAATCAATAAACGTCATATATCACATAAACAAATTAAAAGACAAAAATCACATGATCATATCAACAGACATAAAAAAAACATTCAACAAAAATCCAACACCCATTTTTTGATAAAAACTCTCATAAAAAATGAGAAGAGTGGGACCATATCTCAACATAATAAAGGCCATATATGACAAACCTATATCCAACATCATAGTCAATGGGCAAAAACTAAAACCATTTCCCCTAAGAAAAGGAATAAGACAGGAATGTCTGCTTTCACCACTCTTACTCAACATAGTACTGGAATTCCTAGCCACAGGGATAAGACAAAAAGAAAACATATTATAAAAGAGATCCAAACTATCATTATTTGCAGATGACATTATATTGTACAAAGAAAATCCTAAAGATTTTCTTTAGGAAAAGAAAAAAAATCTACTACCCTGTTTCCCCGAAAATAAGACAGTGTCTTATATTAATTTTTGCTCCCAAAGATGCGCTAGGTCTTATTTTCAGGGAATGTCTTATTTTTCCATGAAGAAGAATACGATACACATTTATTGCTAAATGAAAATAAAGGAAATTTATTACCTGTATACGAAACGGTAGTACGGTAGTTGTCAACACAAACCAGACAAACTGTGAATCCTACAGTATCAAGAATTTACTCATTTATTCAATGACAATCATGTCATCATCTTCTGGAACATCATCATAACAATCCAATACCTGAATTTCCTGGTGAATTTCTTGTGACTCCATTTCTTTCAGAATCAGTGGATCAAATCTCTCATGTTTAGCCTAGGGGGGCCTTATTTGGGGGGGGATGCCTTATATTTCACTCAGAAGGAAACCTGTAAGTAGGTCTTATTTTCGGAGGATGTCTTATTTTCGGGAAACACAGTAGACTTAATAAAAGAATTCAACAATGTAGCAGGGTACAAAATTAACACCCAGAAATCCATGGCATTTTTATACACCAATAATGAATTCTCAGAAAGAGAAACTAAACAAACAATCCCATTTACCATGTCAATAAAAAAATAAAGATACTTAGGAATAAACTTAA